CGCGTTCTGCGCTTCCCCACTGGCAGGGCCATAGCGCAATCGTACGAACGGTTGCGGACGGATGCGAACGGTTGCGAACGGTTGCGGACGGTTGCACAACATCCGGCAAACAAGGATTCACCCCCAGAGCCCCAACATGAAACGAGAACCCTATGCTACGCGTTCGGGAAAAGACATTCACCTGGAATTGGAACTCCCCAACAGGCACGCGTCCCTTTGATACATGAGAATCATACATGGAACAATTATCAGAAGTAGAATCGATAGGAAGAACAAACTAGACCACGGTTGGCCCGAAAGCATAACATCGCAAGCGAGGTCGGCCCAACGCTGCAGGATGCGTTCTTTTTCCCTACACGAAGCATTCGTGAAGCAAGCGCGAGACAGCACCAGGCAAGGTGCTCTGCGCAAACTGGTCGGTGCAAGTTGGTCTGCGCAAGTTGCTCTATGCAAGTTGCACTGCGCAAGTTGGTTGCTCCGCGCAAGTTGCTCCGTGCAAGTTGGTCCCTGCAAGTGGCTCCCTGCAAGTTGCTCCGTGCAAGTTGCCCCCTGCAAGTTGCTCTGCGCAAGCTGCTCTGTGCAAGTTGCTCTGTGCAAGTTGCTCTGCGCAAGTTGCTCTGCGCAAGTTGCTTTATGCAAGTTGCATCTTGCGACGCCCGCTCGCGGACCAGGGAGGAATCGAACCCGCGACCCGCCGGTCCCGGGAGCAGGCGCGCGAACCACGAGACAACTCCCGAGGACCAGTTCGAACAACAAAAATCGCAATAAAACCTCGAGTACGCCGATTCCCGCAGAGGGTTGCGCGAGCACCGCACAAAAAACCTCGAGTTTTTGCACCTCGACCACGCCGATCCCCGCAGAGGGTCGCGCGGGAACTTTAGAAATCGCAAAAACCTCGCGTTTTTGCACCTCGACCACGCCGATTCCCGCAGAGGGTCGATTTTCGTGTAGTGTCGTCGGCACTACCCCGCCGCCCTAAGAAGAGATTTTAGCTCCTCACAAATCAGATGCACTTGACTCCTTGCAATTGCAACTTGCACTTGACTCCATGCACTTGCAACTTGCACTTGACTCCATGCACTTGCAACTTGCACACTCCTTGCACTTGCAACATGCACTTGCACTTGCACTTGACAACTTGCACTTGACTTTGCTTGAACTTTGCACTTTTGCTGACCATGCGCTTGGCTCCTTGCAGCTCGCAATGACTCTTGCATGACTCCTTGACTCCTTGCAATGACTCCTTGCAATGACTCCTTGCAATGACTCCTTGCAATGACTCCTTGCAATGACTCCTTGCAATGACTCCTTGCAATGACTCCTTGCAATGACTCCTTGCAATGACTCCTTGCAATGACTCCTTGCAATGACTCCTTGCAATGACTCCTTGCAATGACTCCTTGCAATCCTTGCAATGACTCCTTGCAATGACTCCTTGCAATGACTCCTTGCAATGACTCCTTGCAATGACTCCTTGCAATGACTTTCATGATGATGATTCCTTGCAATGACACCTTGTAATGACTCTCATGAGAACAACTCAGGTGAACCCAGCGGAAGAACCCTTCGCCATGCTTTCGGGAAAACATGAATCTGCATTTCCCGAAATTTGGGAATGAAGAATTGGACAAACAAGAATCTGGAACTCCCCAAAAGGCACCCGTCCCTTCGGAAATGAGAATAAGACATAGAACAATTATCAGATGTCGAATCACTAGCTAGAGAAAAACACGTGAATCTGGAGTTCCCAAAAGGTACCCGCCCTTCTTGGAATAAGTAGAAACATTGGAACATTAGAACTGTTGATATGTGACGAATTTGTAAAACACGAATCTTCAATTTCCCAAAGGCACCCATCCCTTTGGGAAAAATAAGAAAATAGAACAGTTGGAAGAACTTGAATTATTAGAACAAACACAAATTTGGAGATTCCCAAAAGGCCCCGTCCCTTTGGGAAGAATGATCATAAAATGGTAGAATAGTCTAGCAGAAAATGAATCTGGAATTGCCCAAAAGGGACCCGTTCCGTGGAGAATGATTAGAAGAAGTAGAATAACTAGAGAGACCATGAATCTGACATTCCCCAAACTTGGGAATGGAGAATTGAAAAAGAAAGGATCTGGAATTTCCGCCAAGGCACCTGTCCCTTTCGGAATGCAAATATAATACATAGAACAAGCAAGTATCAGAGGTATAATCATTAGAAAGAATAAAATCATGAATCTGGAATTCCCGAAAAGGCGCCCGCCTCTTTCAAAATAAGTAAAACAATTAGAATGGCTATGATAAGTAGACTAACTTGCAAACTATGAATCTTCAATTCCCCAAAGCCACCCGATTGTCTGGAATAATTAGAATGAATCTGGTGATTCCCGAAAGGCGCCGGCCCCTTTGAGAATAATGATCATAAGAAGTATAATAGTCTAGCAGAAACTGAATTCGGAATTCTTCAAAAGGGACCCAAAACGTGGGGAATAATTGGTATGATCCAGGTCATTCCCAAAAGTAGACAATATTTCGAGTAGAATAAATCTGAAATTCCCTAGATTTAGGAATAAAGAATAAAAAACACCATAATCTAGAAATTCCTCCAAGGCACCCGTTTCTTTGGGAATGAGAATCAATCACGCATAGAACAATGATCAGACATATAATCAATAGAAAGAACAAACACATGAATTCTTCAACAGGCACCCGCCCCTTTGAAAATGGTTGGAAAAGTTGAACAAATAGAATAACCAGAATAATGAGGACAAACATAAGTTTGGAGATTCCCAAAAGGCATCTGTCCCTTGGGGAAGAATGACTGTAAAGAGTAGAGTAGCTAGACTAAAACATGAATCTGGAATTCCTCAAAAGGGACCCGTCCCGCTTGGAACAATTAGAATACTTCGGGCAATTCCCAAAAATTGGAAATATCTTAAGTAGAGAATATTTGGGAATGGAGAATTGGAAAAGACAGAATCTGGAACTCCCCCCCCCCAGGCACCCATCCCAAAGGAATGACAAGAAGGATTGGAAGAAGTCAAGGCACTCATCTTTAGTGTAATAATAATAATTGGTATACCTAGAACAACAACTGGCCTGGAATTCCTTAAAAGGCACTCGCCCCTTTGTGAATAAGAATATTATTTGGAATAAACCTAGAAGTCGAAGAATTAGAACAGAAATGAATCTGCTGGTCCCCAAAAGGAACCCGTCCCCCTCGAAATAAGAAAGATAATGAGACTGGTTATGATAAGCAAAATAATTTGCAAAAACAATCTTCAATTCCTAAAGGCACCCGTCCCTTTGGGAATAACACTAATAATACTTGGAAGTCTATGGGCATTCGAATAATTGGCAAGCGTCAGTCTTGAATTCACCAAAAGGCACCTGCCTGTTTGGGAGCTGTTCATTGGGAAATTGTTTAACAAGTTTGAGCAGCGCGGGAAACTTAATCTCGAATGCGCCAACAGGCCCCATCCCTGTTGAAATAATGATTCTACCCAGGGAAAAACCGAGTTTGGAATTCTCAAAGGCACCCCCGCCCTCTAGGGAATAATTAGAACTATGATAAGTAGACAGATTAGCAAACAGGACTCTTGAATTCCCAAAAGTCACCCGTCCCCTTGGCGATAAACCCCCCTTGTAGGAATAACTATAATGCTTCGATCAATCTTAATAACTGGAACAAACATGAATCTGGAATTCTCCCCGTCTTTTCGGAATAGGTAAAGCAACTATGATGATGATAATCCTTTGAGAAAATATGGAATAATAAAAACAGTTAGGCCAAAAATGAATCTGGAGATCTCCAAAAGCACCCATCCCTTTGAGAGGAACTGTATTAATAGAAAACAGTAACGGAATTATAATAAATAGAATAATTTGCAAACATGGATCTTGAATTCCTCAAGGCGCACCCACCCCTTTGGGAATTATTAGAATCATTTCAGTAGTTACAATAAATAGAGCACATATCAGAAGCACTAGCTAGAGGGAAAAAAAGAAACATGAATCTGGAATTCCCGAAAACGCACCAGCCCCTCTCGGAATAAGTAAAACAATTAGATTAGCTATGATGAGTAAACGAAGTTGAAAACATGAATCTTCAATTCCCCAAACCAAAGGCAGCCATGCCTTGACTAATAATTAGAAAATAGAACAAATAGAATAACTAGAATAATTAGAACAAATGTAAATTTGGAGATTCCGGAAGAAGGATCATGAGAAGTGGAATAGTCCAACAGAAGCTGAATGCGGATCTCCTCAAAAGGGACCCGTACCGTTGGGAATAATTCGAGCAATAAGTGTAATTTCATAAAATGGCAAATACCTTAAGCAGAATAACTAGACAGACCATGAATCTGAAATCCCCTTATTTTGGAATGAAGAATCGGACAAACAAGAATCTGGAACTTCGGGAATGAGAACAATACATAGAACAATTCTCAGAAGTCGTCTCACTAGCTAGAGAAAACCACATGAATCTGGAACTTCCTGAAAGGTACCCGCCCCTCTCGAAGATAGGTAGAACAATTAGAATAGCACCGAATTTCCAAAACATGGATCTTCAATTCCCCAAAAGGCACCCGTCCCAACAGGCACCCCGTCCCTTTGGGAAGCATGATTATAACAAGTATAATACTAGACTAGAACATGAATCTGGAGTTCCTCAAAGGGACCTGTCCCGCTGGGAACAATTAGAATAGTTTGGGTAGTTCCCTAAAATAGAAAATATATTGAGTCGAAGAATTAGAGAGACAATGAATCTGAAATTCCTCACATTTGGGAATGAAAAAAAGAAGAAAAGAAAACAAGAATCGGTTTCATCTGCCAATGTGTCCTCGGAACAACAACAATTGATACAAACACATGTGTCTGTCACATGAACGTGACCGCTCCCTGCCACGAAAACCCCCTCTTGGCACGGTTCCACAATCCATCCATGTGCATTTGAGACATGATTTGCTCGATGGACAAGAACACTTGTCCCACGGGACTGGTTTGTTTCGCTCCTTCATGTAGATCAGCAAGGCAATGCTCTGGAGCGTCTTGCCCAGGCCCATGTCATCGGCAAGCACCGCCCCAAGGCCATTGTGCGCCAGGCACGCGAGCCATCGGAAACCCGCAACTTGGTAGGGCCTGCCCCAGGGCGTGGGAAAGCACTCAAGACTCGAGGGTCGCCCTTCCAATCGGAACACGATGCATCAAAGAAACTTCCCAACACGCAAAGTCCGCTTGTGCTTGCCAAAGCGAAGTGGCATGGCTTGATTATCTCCAAGAGCATTCCAAGAAACGGCAACAAATAGAATTGCCAGCAAAGGTCTTCTCATCGGTCTCATGATGACTTGTGCGCCAAAACAAGCAGGAGTTGCGCTTCTCCCGGTGCAAAAGGGTCAAAGTATTTGCGCAAGGAAGCTGCATGGGAGGACCTTCGAGGCCCAAGAATGTTCACACACACGCCACGATGCAAGCATGCGGCTGAGATGCGCGGAGGAAAGAAAGTGAAGCAAGCAAAACTCCTTTCCACAAGCCCTTTCCCAAGGCCTCAGCTTGTCCTTTAGGCACGTGGGGACCTCCAGATTCTTCAGACAGTCCAAGCCCAGCGCCTTCTCGTGGAAGTGGGGGGCCTTCACGAGGCGAGGCGGTCCCGTCAAGCCCCATGTCAAAGGGCTGGGTGGGAAAGCGGCGGAGTTTTCTGTTGTATGCAGCGCCAAGGTAGTCCTTTCACCTCAAAAGCCACTTCCGTACAAGCCCTCAAGGGTGTGGATGCTGCCTTGCCCACGTGGTCCGGCGGACATGTGTTTCAAGCTGGTCGCGATGGAAGTCATGCAAACACGACAAAGCAGAGGGGCAAACGGTGATCAAGTTTAGTCTTGAAAGTACATGAATTCCGTGAGTCCTCGGCTCGTTTTCTTCCTTTTGTTCGTGGGTCGTCTTAAGTGAGAAAAAAAAGTGAACGCTGGGTGAGGGCTGGGTCTTGGTGAAGGCTTGGAACGAAATGTTAACGAATCGGGTCGCAGCCGGCGAGTCACATCTTCCTGAGCTCAGAAACAAGTCAACAGAACCCAACCAACGCAAGAAGCCAGAGGCCTGGGTGGCAACGCCATGGAGTCCAGCAAAACTGCGGTCAAGTGATTCCTGTCGGGCGTGCGCCTCCGGGACTAGGACCACATCAGTGAACTGCGGGTCTCCCAAGGAGCTCCGCAGGAGCTCGAAGAAGTTGAGCTGCGGAGGAGGCCGCTTCACCTTCGCGTCTAGGGTCGGGCTTGTAGGTGCAGAACACAAAAGGTGAACAGACAGCGGGATTGGTATTGGACAACTTCTGAAGCCGCTGGTGTCTGAGATCCTATCCCGCACAAAGCAGGCCGAACCTGTGACATGTACTTCTTGCCGTCCCTCCCCATTTGCAGAAGAAACCTGAGGGAACACCCTTGCAGGCCATTGCAGGTTCCATGTCAGAGGGTGGCAGGGCAATAGTTTTCAATTTGAGGGGGGCAGGTCATGTTGAGGGCGGCCATTCCATCGACGGAAGTCCCTCAACCACGGCTGGCCAAGTAAATTGAAGCGTGAGGCGCAAAGCCGTCAGCTTTGAGCCGGTTGCAACTTAGCTCCAAGAAATCCCCCTGATCAAGGACGCAAGAGTTCAAAGACCAGGACCTCAAGGGCCACCTGGCATTTGAGGAAGTCATATCGTCGCCCGCGCAGCTTTCCTCTACACAAAAGGCACAGCGTAAATCATGAAAGCAGGGTGATGTTGACAATCCTCGCCAAGGCATGAAACAACACAAATTCAAGATTCTCCCATAAATCAACCCTTCAAGACTTGAGTACTCAAGCACGTATGATGACTTTAAACTTGATCAAACCATTTCAAACAGATCATTACATACACTCGCATGGACAGCCGCCCTGTCTTTTGCAGCCCTGCTCATTCATGCTTAAAAAGATAAACGGCGCACCGAGAGCGCCTGGGCTGCACATTTGTGATCGTGCTTTCTGCGTCACTGAGCAGGCCCCTTTGCCGGGACAAACATCTCACTTAATAGAAATTATGCTGTCAGAACACGGGCGCTGCTTTTTGATATTAAGTATTGCTGCCTAGGGGGTTGGGTTTGACAATCCGACACATGCCGAATTTCACAGGGAGTAGGAGTCCGTGCCCCACCTTGGGCCCCGTGATGTCGTGCAGCAGCTGGCGGCTCAAGATGATGTATCGGCCCGGCAAGCCGCGACGAGTCTGACAAAGACAGGAAACACTGGGCTCAAGTGCTGTTGGAAGTTGCTCTGAGCGCAGTTCAACGCACGTGACAGAAGTGTGGCTCACGCACGCTATCAAGAAAAGACCCCAATGCGACCAAATGGCATTTACAAAGGATCTGCAAATGTGAAACGCATCAGAATCAGGCCGTAAAGATATATATATATATATAACTCCCAAGGAAGTGTCCAATTCCACCCTCTGGGAATCTTGTGGGTGGCCCTAGCTGGTTTGAAGGGCTTCTAGAGACCACTCCAAACTCGTATCAGCATCGGTTGAGTTCTGCTGAAACTCCATGACTGTTGCTTCTGCCAAAACAAAGGCTCTGTGATTCCCTTACTGCAAGCAGCATTGAATTGGAGAATTAACAAATATGGATCGCAATGAGCAACCGCCAAAACCCCTCCACGCCCAATTCCGCCTCAAACCAGAAGAGGCAGTCGCCTGCAATGTTCGTGTTCTGGAGCACCTTGCAGGGTGCATGAGGCACCACCCTTCGTTGCCCCAAACGGCAACGAATGCCAGTAAATTGGTAAAGGCCACCAAAACGGCGATTGCAAAGCATGATCCCACATCGAACCAAAGCAAAGTGTTTGCCTCGTGAACCCCTTTTTGGTTGAAAACAAAGGCATGCCCTAAATGAATGAAACCTGTCAGAACGATTAAACCCACATTCACTCTCCGTCACTCCCCCATCACCTGGCCCTCCGGACTCTGCAAGAACTCTGCCACACCCAGCGAGATCTGCCTCCCTGCAGCCCAGCTCACTTTGCGCGGGGGGCTTCTGCAAACAATGTCATCGTGACGCGCGCTCGCAAACACATCCAAAACAGAATACGTCAAACTTAGGGGGCCTGAAAGTTGGCTTCAGAAGTTCTGGAGCTGGGTTCTGGTGAGCGAAATTCAACAGCAGTTGCGTAAGGTTGGTTGTCAAGACCAAACGAACTATCAAGGGAAAAGGCCACTCCTTTGGATGGAGGAGTCATGTCCAGTGGAGCGTGTGGAACACGGTGTGGTCTAATATCGGTCTCCCAAAAACAGTTGTTCTTCCATTCAGTAATGTACTCGGAGAAGCCCTAACTTCCCGGCAGCCAAAGATTGGACTTACATAAGCTCTCAAGTGCAGCAAGCAACACTTACGGGGTCTTGGTCAACATGAGGAAACCCCGTTCAGAGAAAACCAAACACACCCAGATTTTGACATACGCACGTTGGAATTGACAAACATTGACATGGCCCATGTTGTGTGCATTCTGTTGGCGGCACGTTGGGATGGAGCCTCTATGGTTCAACTAATGGAGAAACTAATGGAGAAGGACCCAGGGCTGGGATGATGAACCCCTAAAGTATTGTGCCATGGTCAAAGAGTTTTGGAAGGGTGCACCTGCGGAATATGCGTCCTGAAAATCAAAGGCAGTTTGGAAAGACCTTTACTTGTTTAGGGTAGTTTTGCGCACAAACAAGCGCAACAAAGAATGAATGCATGTGGGCGTGTGGCTGGGGAATGGCAATCGAGAAAAAACGGCCCTTTGTGGGTTCGGAACGGGTTCGGACCCGGGCCCATACAAGGACGCGCACACTTGGCGACGTCAGCTTGCGTTGCAAGCGCAACAGTTTGTCAGCCTGACACTTCTGCAGACTCAGGCGCAGACTGCGTAACAGGCGCGGCATCTTGCCAATGCTGGCACGCGTCGCAAACCTCATTGGCATAGATGCGCAAACTCGCACACGCAGATTTCGTGGCAGGCGCCGCACTTTTGCAAGGTCAAGCGCAGTTTGGCGAAGTCAAGCGCAAGGTTCGCGGCAGACGCAGCGCCTCCGCAAGGTCAAGTACAGTTTCGTGGCAGACGCAGTGCTTTCAGAAGATGGATGAATAGATAGACGGATAGATGGAAGATGGATAGATAGCTACATAGCTACATAGCTAACTAGCTAGATAGCAAGACAATGAGAGGTGGAAAGATCAGTGGATTGGCAGATTCGAATGCACTAGTTTAGATTAGATTGGATTATGGATAGGTCCCTAGAAAGTGAGGTTAGGAAGATGGAATTTTTATGAAAATGATAGATAGATAGATGGATAGATACATAGATAGATAGCTAGATGGTGAGATTAAGCAAAAAGGAAAGACAGTATATGGATAGCTAGAAAGATCGAAAGAATCGAAAGATAGATAGATGGCTATATAAGGTAGATAGATGGATTAGAACACATTAAGTTGGATTGGAAGGAGGATCAATGCATCGGAGAACTTAGGATATTGAACGGCAAGTGATTATCCTGTAACGTTGGGTTGTTTTGCAGACATTATTGCAAGGCAAGTTGATGCTCCCAGCGAGTCCCACGCAAACTAGTAGGAACATGCGGTTTTCCGGCGGTTCAACAGGCAGGGGTCGCAAGCTCCTTTGGCCAGGTTACCAGTCGGGTACCAGTAGAGCCGGCAAAGCCAGCGGGCGGATGTTTCAAAAATATGCGAACTCTAGTTGTCCTGCTCTTTCTCTTTTTCTCTCCCTTCCTCTCTCTCTTTGCTTCATTCTGTTTCTTGTTTGTCTTTTGCTTCCTCTTCTTCTCTTTCTTTTCGCTTTCTACCAGCTCAGGAACACTGAAACCGAAGACAACATGCCTGGTTTGCGACCCCCACCCGCCTGGCTCCGCTGCCGCTGACGTGACGCACCAGTCCTTGACAGGCCGGCGGAGCTGGGCGCAAGAAAAGGATTCGCAGCCTCCTCTCTAATCCTCGTAGTCGCTATGAAACGTTATGAAACGAAACTCCTACTAAACACAGGGGCTTCGAGCGCTTCTGGGCGATCGCTTGTCTAGGGAACATCAATTTGGATGTTCCAAGAAAACACATTTCGGGAATCCCGCAAAAAGACAATATGGGGCACGTATGAATCCAATCAAAGTAGCAGCCCCCAATATGGTTTATACTAAGTGAGCTTCGGGCTTTCTCTTAGGGGAGCCATCCCCTGCAATAACTGTTTTATTCTTCGTGTGGATGCACCACCATGAGAATAAATTATTCTCACCGTAGTTGCATTCCCGCAATGGGTGTGGTGGTGGTTTTATGGTCAAGTGTGAGAGGGGAATAACTTCCAACTTGTCGGAGTTGCCATGTGGCCGTGGAAGGGGGGTGATGCTGGGAACGCTGGGGGTGCGTTTCTTTGCGAGACCCCGGTAAAACGTAAATTCTTGGGGTCATCGGGTTGTCAACCAGTTTCCAAGAAACTTATTCCAGGAGTGTATTCAAAGGAGTGACGGGGTGCCCCGGAAGCTTCTGGCAGCACGCAAAGGACGGGGCGATGAATGGCCCACTGGATGACAAAAGAAACCGCCATCCCATGCAGGCAAGCTGGTCAAACCACCAAGCACTGCAAAGGGCTCTTTGCGTAAGATCCATTGCGCATGGTTACAAAATACTGCACCACCAAAAGGAGAGATGCCTTCAAGAGATGCTGCGTGCAGCGATCTCACTAAAAGCTTGGCGAACACATGTCACAAAGAGAGACCAACTCTTTATGAGCCACGGCTCCATATTGATGAACTTCGCCACATGCGCGGCTCGGCGGGAGCCTGCTAGCGCCTTCTCCGGCAGCTGGGCACGCCGCAACAGGCGAGCCCGTGTGCACACCGCGAAGCCGCGCGTGTGCTCCTGAGGCACGCGCAGAGTGGCATTTTCCGTGCCACTTTTACAGCCTCCGGTTAACTGCCTGTTTGTCTTGGTTTCCCAAACTTGACCCATGTTCCGAGTTGAGCCTGGGTTCCCAAGTTAAGTCTTTTAGGCAAATCAGGATGTTTTCCTTCAGGCGTTTCAGCTCCCTGTCGGTGTCCGGTTAGCTCGAAATTTTGTGTTGTCATTCCCCAGAGGTAGTGCCTTCGAGACAAGAGATGGGAGTTGACCTTCAAAACTGCAGCGCTAGAACTCTAGTGTCAAACCCAAGTATGTTGGCCCATTCCGCCCACTCACAAACTTTTAACACCGCAGGCCCAAACAACAGGGGAAACAACAGGGCAAATTTGTTATCCAGGGACCGGAGCCCTCCTTCTACTCGATGAAAAGACCCTTATCAGGTTCCCCGGAAGGATTTCAACAACCCTTTCAACAATAACCAAAATCCGAGACTGGCCTGCCTCAAAATCGAACTCCTGATTGAACAGTGAGAATACAAATCACCTGCTTCCCACGCAAAACATCTTCTCAAAAAGCAGCAAGTCCAAAAATGAAAAAAGAGGAAAG